AAAAAAAAAAAAGCTCAGTGCATTAAAGCGCCTGCTGAGGCAGACACAGTGCCCAGCCAGGGTTGAATCACCAGGCTTGCCTTGCTGGCCTTGCCCCTAGGGCGAGGGAACTGTGTTGGCAGCGAGTTTTTGCTCTGTGAGGAGAAAGGTACAGTGAAGTGAGAGACCAGAACTCAGAGAAGCTGGCTGTCCTCAGAGAAAGACCACAGCCCAGGAGGACCGCTCCACCCACGCTGAGACTCCACTGCGCTGCGGCCGCTTGCCTGCGTTTCTGTGGGTGCAGTGTAGAAGAGCCTCCAAGGGCTGGCGCTACTCGTGCCTCTGTGCACGCTACACGCTGCTGACCTTGGCAACCACGGGTGAGTAACATTTATCAGGAAAAGCACTGGTGAGGTCCCGGCGCCGTGAGGCTTCAGAGGCCAGCTCAACTCACGGCCTCTGCTCCTCACCCCATGTATTCCAGGTCGGAGAAGATGAAAGTCTTGTTGATGTCGAAGCCACAGGCGATGATGTCCTTGGCGTTCTCCAGGGTGTAGCCGTAGGCCTGCTCCAGGGTCAGGTCTTTCCACAGGTATTTCTCGTCGTCGGACATCTGGACGACCAGGGGGACATTGAACACGTCCTGCAGCCACCTGGGGGGGAAGCTGTCTGTGAGATCTGTCAATTGTACCATGCAGTGCACCATCACTGCAATTTTAGGGTGCTGCTGTGCCCCGAAGCAGGCACACTGTACATGAGATAACTGAGGATATGCTCTATTGCCGCACGCCAAGAGGGTGCCATGTCACAGCCCTCAGTCCTACGGCCCTACGGCGTTGCTGCAGGGACAGGGAGCGGGGAGCTGGCCTGGCTAATTCCACAGCGCTGCTCTCCCATGGAGTCTTGGTCTCGCGAGTGCTGGAGCCTGGGGGGCAGAGGCCGTGAAGGTGCAGCACCCCGACGCTGGGCCCTCAGCAAACTGGAACCAGCACCGTCTGGCCAGCTTTGCAAAGGGGCTGTCAGTGTCGCACACGATGCCCAAGGTGAGCGAGAAGCTGTGTGACGTCTACTCACTTGGTGAAAATAAATGGGATGAGGTGGCCGACATGCATGGCTTCAGAAGAGGGGCCCCTGCCCGTGTACAGGTAAAACGGCTTCTGGTTCTCATAGGCGTCGAGCACCTGATTCATGTCTCTAATGCAGAGGGAGAAAAGGGAGAAGGGTGATTCTCTGGGGAAGACGTCAAAGCACTGAAGCTCATTTGGAAATGAAAACTAATGACAGACAAAACACGGGGAACACAGATTTGTCGGCTTTGCTGCTACAATGGAGCCATGACGCACGGTGCGCCGAGTGGCTTCTCCTGCGCACGGGGTCTGAAAGGCAGGCGAGTAACAGACCTGGCTGCACAGCCCTGCTCTTTGGATGCCTCCATCACCAATGCAGACGCACACCCTGTTTCCCATGCTTCCTGGGCGCACCCCGCCTGGTGGGAACTTGCACCTCTTATTTTATCTATTTATTTTGATTTAGGACAGGGCCTATAGGGTGTACAGGGTCTCACCATGTGGAGCAGACATAGATTCGTCCTGTTTTCAGCCTCCCAAGTGCTGGGATTATAGGCACACGGGCCACCACGCCCAGTCTTGATGGCCATCTCAGTGCCCCAGGGGACGGGGCGGCACAGCAGGCTGGGGATCTGGCCTGGCCGCTGTGTCTGCCTAAGCAGGGGCTTTAGTCTGCTGAGCTATCAGGCCGGCCCACACCTTTTATTTTATATTAGTTCGTTTGTTTTATGGCTTTATCGGGACCTGTTTGCAGGGCATGACTGTTCTCTGTGGGGAATGGTGCCGTACACAACACGTCCTTTTACTGCCCTCTCTCCGCCCTCTACTGCCTGGTAATGAAAGCTCCCTCAGGAATGCCCCTGTTTGGCAGGGGTAAAAATAACCAGCAGTACTGAATGTGAATGCTCCCTTTTCTGGGCAGTGTTCAGGAAGAAAAAGAATAGTGACCTTTTTCAGAGATCTCAGTAGGAAAGTCCCGGCGAGGGCTCTGGGTTCTTCGGAGGGGATCAAGGCCTGGGGCTCTGCAGTTACTGCCCTTGCAACAGGAACCCAGGAATTAAGGCATGTGACCACCGGCCTGAGAGCAGTAAGATGATGCACAGGAACCGGGGACAAGGGTGTGGTCATGCACTGATGTGGGGGAAATGCTAGATGCTGCTTAGGTGGCTTCCTATTTCTCCAAGTCCTCGGAACAAAGGAGTTACGAGTAGGAAAACTGACTGGGAGAAGGAATGGGGAGTAGGAACAGGGCCGGAGAGACAGGAGGGCAACCCGGATGGGCTGCCGGTAAGCCCACTTCTCAAAGGAACTTCTATAGAGCACAGTCATGAGGCGGGTACAACATGGGGCAAAGTTAGGATTAACCAATAAGACTGCAAGTGTAGCTGCTCAGGTAACACGGAGCCGACAGTAGCACGGGCATACGGGGGACACCGCTAACTCTGGCCCATAATCTGGTCCTGTCCTGAGCCCTAGTGGGCGGGAGCGGATGACCCATCTCTGAAGACATCTTGGGAAATCTCTGAAGGGTGAGGCCATTAGTGTCCAGCTTCTGTGCGTGCCCTAGGGAGCGCGACAGTCTCACCTTTGCACGAGTCTGGGTTCCTTCTCATCCCTGGCACTGGCTTCTCGAGGGCCCGGCTCTGACTGCCCACCATAATTCCACCTACTTTAGCTGTCTGTAAGAGTACTGGATTACAGCACCTTGCTGACACACAGAAATAAACTGCCAGAATTGACCCAAGAAGGAACAAAGTCAGCATGTAGGACGGCTAAAATATTTTATCTGGGGGGAAAAAGCCTAACACCGACCTTTCACAAAGTCTTCCAAGAAAAAGGAAGAGAAGATATTACAGACAGCCCAGTGACTTGGAAACACCACAGCGGCCAGAGCCAGGCCCTGGCGAGAGCGGCATGAGGCGACGGCGGCTGCAGATGCGCGGAGGGGCGGCCTCGGGGCAGGCAGAAAGGACTCCCGCAGACCCTTCCTCGAGGACGGCCACCAGTGACCGAGACGGGGCGTCCCTAGCGCTGGTTGCCCTTGAACTCGTAAGGAACCCCCTGCCTCCGCCTCCCCGTGCCGGTTACCGTGGCTGCGCACCACCAAGCCCGGCCTCAGAGCCTTTCTTTTTCCCAACGAGTACTTCCCACTCTTGATGTCTGTTGTTCCTACAATTGTTTATTCAGTTCTAGAGAAAACAAATTCGGTGTACCAGACATCCAGCAGGTGGAGGTTACACTTCTCTTACATATTTAGATCATCTTATGTACCCAGATACCAAAACCAGACAGGCACAGAGAATTACACCAGCATCCTTTAGGAATGCAGACGTGAAATCCTCACAGCTCACAAGCCAAGCCCAGCAACAGATAAGGAGCATTACGCACAAGTGGGGCTTGTTCCAGGAAGGCGAGGCTGACCTGACCTAAGACAGTCTGTCAAGGCGAGGCTGACCTGACCTAAGACATATAGCTCACAGAAAAGGACTGCAGAACAATCCAATGTCCTTTTGAAACAGACACTTAGCAGATGAACAGTAGAAGAAACCACCCAGAGACGCCGCGTCGCGCGTGCCCCTTCCTTTCCAGCCTCGGCCTCGGACCGTGCAGCCGCTGATGTTGATGCCCAAGAAGAACCGGATCGCCATTTATGAGCTCCTTTTCAAGGAGGGGGTGATGGTGGCCAAGAAAGACGTCCACATGCCCAAGCACCCGGAGCTGGCAAACAAGAACGTGCCCAACCTTCACGTCATGAAAGCCATGCAGCCTCTCAAGTCCCGAGGCTACGTGAAGGAACAGTTTGCCTGGAGACGCTTCTACTGGTACCTTACCAACGAGGGCATCCAGCACCTCCGTGACTGCCTCCACCCGCCCCCCGGGATTGTGCCTGCTACTCTTCGCCGCAGCCGGCCTGAGACTGGCAGACCCAGGCCCAAAGGTGTGGAGGGCGAGCGGCCCATGAGGCTCACGCGCGGGGAGGCCGACAGGGATGCCCACAGACGCAGCGCCGTGCCCGCTGGTGCCGACAAGAAGGCTGAGGCGGGGACCGGTTCAGCCACTGAATCCCAGTTTAGAGGCGGATTTGGTCGTGGACGTGGTCAGCCACCACAGTAAAGTTGGAGGACTTTATTTTCCATTGAATAAATGTAGCCAGAAAACGTGAAAAAAAAAAAAAAAAGAAGAAACCACCCAAAGAGCATTTACACGAGCAATGACGCCACCAGTCCACGTGCCGCAGCACGACAAGGACACCAGCCTTCGCCACCAGGTATGGTCAGAGCACTTCAGTGAGAAACACAAAACCACACGAAAGGGGACAGCTTAATCTGATAGATCTTTTCAAGTACTTGGTGCAGCAGAGAAACAGAAGAAAAAAGAGAAAGGGGCTTGTTATGGTTTGTGTCTAGTTGTCCCCCCAAAGCCTCATGCAGTCATGGGGTGAGGACTTCTAGAGTTTGTGTTAACTCATGATCCACTGGGATTATGTGTGATCCAAGGCTGGGATTATGGGTCTTAGTACTGCTGGGATTACCCATAGCTGGGTAAATACTGGGAAGTACCCATAGGTGTGAGTACTTCCCCTACCCTGGGCAGGTGATTTGCATTACAATGTAAGGTGGGAAGAGAAGCTAGCTGCTTGAGCTGCTGCTACCCCTCCCTGGCTCTCTTGCTCTTTGCCGCCGCCATGAAAGGTTGCCCTCTGCTATGCGCTGCTCTGCCTTGGACCCAGATGAGTATGGACTGGAACCTCCAGTAACTGTGAGCTAAATAAACCTTTCCTTCCTTCATTTTGAGTGTCGGGTATTTGTCCCAGCAACGAGAGAAGAGTAACTAAGACACGGCTCTATTTTCTTTGAGGACACCGGAGAGAATGTGGGGAAGAATGAGGAATTCCCTGGAGTGGAACAGAGGACACTGAGGCTCTTACGGCCCTCTGCCAGGGATGGAGTTGGAGGGGATGTTTAGATGTCCCTGAGGGAGCTGACTGGGGGGCTTCCCTGAAGGGGCGCTTGTGCCCTGGGCTAAGCTGGGGAACAGGGAGGTGGTCCTGGGAGAGATGGGCTTTTTTTTTTTTTTTTTTGCAGAACCGAGAATTGAACTCAGACCCTTGAGCTTGCCAGGGAAGCGCTTATTCTACTGAGCCATCCCCCCGGCCCCGAGGGATGGGCTTTTAAGGGCTTCAGCCATATTAGCTAACCAGCATGATGATTTGAGCAATTCACACTAGGGCCAGAACCTATCAGCTTGCTACAGACATCATTCTACAGATAGAAAATTTTACAGAGGATACATGTACACATTAAAAAGGAAGAGATAAATAAACCACTGGAGCTAATACATTCAGCAAAATTTCAAGATGTAAGAATCAGCAAGGGGCTGGCCAGATAGCTCAGCAGATTAAAGCATCTGCTTAAATAGACACAGGGACCAACCTGGGTTTGATCCTCAGTGTGCCTGCAGGCCTTGCCCCCAGGGTGTGCTGAGACTGGGATTGAGACTGGGCATGGTGATTTGCACCTCTATAATCCCAGTGCTTGGGAAGCTGCAAACAGGAGGATCGCTACGCATCATATCTGCGCAGTGAGACCCTGTACTAAATAATTACAAAAAAAAAAAAAAAAAAAAAAAAAGGAATCAACAGGGCCGCAGATGTAGCTCAGTGGCCAGCAGGAAGTCGTGAATTTGATTCCTGATACAAAAATAAAATGAACATACAAACCATGGCAGCAGTGGGCACTCTCAAAATGAAATTAAGAAAATGCCTTTTACAACACGATGAATAAAATAAAATCCGGAGGAACAATCTAGCCAAAGTATAAATGTACATTTAAAAGCACAAAACATCATCGAGAGGTGTATGAACATGGACCCACGTCCGAGGTGAGGACAGCGTGTCTAGGACAGCGAGCTCTCCAATCTCTTCTACAGATCTGGGGCCATCTCCACCAAACATCCCACTGCCTGACTTTCAGAAACAAAACAGCTGACCCCAAACCCAAGTGGAAATGCAAGGGATGCAGGTGTCAAGGGGAAGCAGAAAGAGCCACCGTGAGCTCTGCCCACTGCCCAGAGGGGACGTGGTCACTCTGTCTGGTGCCCACTGCCCAGAGGGGACGTGGCCACTCTGCCCGGTGCCCACTGCCCAGAGGGGACGTGG